CCCCCCCCCCCCCCCCCGAGATGACCTGCGGTTTTCTAATACAACTGGTATTCTCAGGAGCCCCTCAGGGCTCCTGGTATTCTGCAAAAAAAAAACTATGTGGTTTATTGGTGTTGAAGTAGAGCAAGAGACGGGTGCACCCCCTCCTAAAAAAATCCTGGATCCGCCCCTGGGTGCATGGACTTGAAAATGATGTTTACTGTCAAAGTACTTAGCATTTTTATGCTTATTATAAAGAAATCAAAATACAGGTATGTAAGAGGCTAATTTTCAGTTGCAAATTAGGTAACTGTTGCTATATGACTTTCTGTGCAAAAATCAAACTACCTATGAAAACAATTAAATTATATTACTAATTTTCATAAGACGGAATATTTTTTGGGATATTTTAACACACTGTCAACCATGGCATTACAATAGGGATCAGTCCCAACAGATTTAAGGTTTTCTGATAAACGAGTTGCCAGCAACGTGATGTTTTCACCAGGTTTAAAATCTCTCAAGGTGTTATAAATAGCTTTAAAGAAGACTTGTTTATCATTGTGGAAGACTCCTCTATTTCCATGGACTACTGATATGCCATTGTCTTTAGCTGCCCCACAATTGTTCCCATACATGCAGTGGTCAGGACGATAGTTCCAGTCACATGTATAAACATATAGCAAACCTAAAAATATCACATCTGACTGTTAGTAGTGTTGTAGATACAAGTCATGCAAAGCTGACATTCTCAAATAACAATACGAAACATCAGTGAGGGTGGGGTGGAGGTTGGGGTGGCAAAATCTCTTGGGCATTTGAAACACAATAGGACAAATTGTAAGACAAAAGTGATAACATAATGCAATTATGTAAGGTGTGTCTTACTGAGACTGTTGTTGTATCATTAATTTTATAAAAGAAGTTTGCTTTGATTAAGACACATCTAGCTAGCTATCTCATTTTTCATTGTATAAATGGCTCTTCTGTCAGAAAATATCCATACCTCCACCACATTGTATGGCACTTAACTTAATTACACTACCCTTCACTACCCTGGTCAATGTCTTGCTGCAATATCCCTTCTCTTCCCCCCTCTTTCAATGTTGTAGAATATGTGCAGCTTTCTAAACTGAAGCCTAACTCAAGCTTACGACCTTGTTTGATAATGCACATCACATTAAATAGACCTTTCCCGCATTATACTCAAGTGAGCAAAAGTAAAGAAATGAGGATGAGGCTCAGGTGGATTTTCATACAAATCACTGTAATTTGTCCACCCAAACCTTGAGTTGGTGCCTTTGTTTACAGGAATGCAGGGAAGGTCTATTATAAATTATTAATTTCTAAAATAATCTATCCCATAAACAACTACATTTCACCTTTAATTCAACAAAGAACAACTTTGTTTGGGGGAGAGTTGGGCTTAATTTTGCCCTTGGGGAGGCAGAAGGGGATTTGTTGTGGCTGATTGTAAAGCAGATGTGTTTTGTGCACATAATTTCTTGAAACAGTTTTTCTGTACTAAAGGTGAAAATAAACTGCATAATTTTGAAATTTTGCAGCACTTTACAAATGTACTAGATTATTAAGGGGATATTCTTGCACAAAGGCCTCAGCATCAAGGAGCTAGTGTGAAATAAATAATCTTCAAAAAAGGAAACAAGGCCATTACCTGGATGATCATGAAAAACAATATTTATTAAGTCCTGATCTCCCCAGGTTATGCTAAGTTTGTACTTGTTGTAAGCTTCAATTATCTTTTCCTTCCACCCAAATGCTCGCATTCTGGTTAAATTAAGAAGCATAACACCAGAATTCATTCCATTTTTGCCAGCAAAAGGATGACGTGCAAATCTGGGATACCAGGTCAATGATGTTTCTTCACCCTCTGGAGTCATCGATGCCAGCTGCCAGCTGTCAAAGTTCTTGAAGTGATCCCAAATGTTGTCCACAGGTCTTAGCAACAGCGTGTCCGTATCCATGTACAGCACACTATCAATGGAATCCAGCACATCCTAGAAAATAAATTTTCAATATGCTATCTTAAGAAAGCTGACAACAGTTCCATTACAAGCAAACCTCCACGTATATATAATTTGACCCCTTTCGTGTAAAGGCCATGTAGTAATGCGTCCTGCCTGCCAGTCCAGATCTTTATGTTTATTGAAATCTTCAGGTAACAGCCACTTTTTCAAAATGGCAACAACCTGCATTTCATTGTTGAAACTAGAAGATTAATGTAGCACGGTTATTTTTGGGCATGTAGCTGGCCATGAAAAAGAATACAATTGACAATCTTTTACCAAGTTCCATAAGCAGCATTTAGCTAGTGCATCAAATATAATAATCAAAAGAAGGGCAAAACCCAAGAAAGGTGATAATGGACATCCATGGTAGCATATTAATTTTGCCATTTAGCTTTACAATTACTCTAATAATTAATGCTCTGTACTTTCAGGTGAAGAATTAGTCCTATAGCAATACTCACGCTAACGTTCCCTAATGACATTGTAATCATTTGTGTAATGTGCCAACCAAAAGTGCATTGGTTCTTTAAACAAAAGATTCTATTGTTTTACTTGTTGCAGATTTGAATAACAAAAACAATGTTTGTAAACACTGATGTCTCCTAGTAGCTAACTACTCTTTATCAAAAGATACTAAAACAATCGTCACTAGTACCAAGTGCCCAATTGCTGATAAACAAGTTATGATCATTTTCCTGACGTGCAAAGTTACCATGGCAACAGTATATTCTGTTCAAAATACCTTTCTGAGGCCCTGCCAGGGTAAATTCTGACAAGCTATATGGCCCAAAAGGTAGCGACAGCGAGAAGAGACAACTTCCCTCAGCCAAATTGCGACAGTGACGGCAAAGCCGACAATAAGTGACAAGCATTAATTATTTTATAAACACCGACACGAGACATTTTAAAATTCAGACGGGCAACATGGGACCCCCCCCCCCCACCCCTGGCAGGGCCTCCTTTATCCAAAGAGAGATTTTGTAGAAAATTGATAAAGAAGGTATTCAGATGCCACCACAAGATCCCCAAAATTTGAAGTGGCTCTAAACAACCCTCTTAAGTTTTTCTTACAGTTATACCGCGATATAATGACCTCTATCTAACAAAGTCTTTGGTAAAGTGAATGGTTTTCTTTACCCCGGTAATAGTAAAATACGGAAAAGAACTTTCATTAATGAATCCTCATTAAAGCGAACATAATTTGCCAGTCCCTTGGCCCTTTGTTATATCAAGGTTCTCTCACTGTACATAAAAAATTTACTATAAAATTGCCTTTAAACAGCTTATCACAATATGATAAAACCTGCAAATCAGCTCTACGTTTTCATTTGCACTAAAAGCCACAAGTCGTTATCTAAACTGACAAGTACGCAATGAAACAGAGTAAACACATACATTACATAATAAATAGTTTTGTACTTACCACTAGAAACAGCCTCTGTGATGCACATGGCTTGAAAAGTCGTTTCCACTCATCAGACTTTTCCCCAGGAAAGTGTAAAGAGTAAATTTTGAACATGACTTTTCCAGATTGAACCGTATGCCACTGATTAAAAATGTTCTTTAAGTCATCATGGAGTTGGTCTTCTGCGACAACATGGAGTTGTACAGTTCTCTTAGTAAATAGAGTTGTTGACTTGAGCATTGTTGTTGCTTCAATTGCCCGGTCTCCACACACCACAGCACTTACATGAATCGTAGGTAGGGTCAATGTTCTAAAGAGAATATAACTAGCTTTAAGCCAAATGTTTAATTCACCATGAAAATAAACCTTGGCTAATTATGAGTTATACTCTCACAGGTAACAAGGGCGGATTTAGGGGTGGGTAAAGGGGGCCGCGACCACCCCTTTTTTCTTTTAAATTTTGTATTATTTTTATAGAATTCTTAGAAAAATAAAAAGTATCTATATGGCTGGCAAGTGGACAAGTGTCCTGGCCACCTCTTCCTGAATTTTTTGGATTCACCCCTGGGTAATGTTCTGTTATGGATCAGTTATGGATTTCCATTTGTTATTCAATTTTTATTTCCGTAAGCACATAGCATTTACGCTTGTAGGTTGAGTGAGGCTCAACTATTACACTTATGGCTGACCTTCCACACATTGCCTCTATTTTATTTATGCACATAGGCACAAAAAAATTATGTGATGGTGGAAAATAAACTTAAGCCATTCTCAAAAACAAGATTTAGTTTTCAAAGGGTTCAGTTACTAAAAATCTTTAATGATCATCCCTTTAAGTTTTATATGAATCTCCCCACCCCACCCTAAACAAAAAAACAACATAAATGAACTTACAAAAGGGATAAAGGGCATGGGATTCTACACAACTATGCTCTATGCTATAATCAGTACATCAGATAATGGAATTGTTTACTAATGATCGATCTTACCATAATTGTTTGAGGAAATCATTTAGAGTTGTCTCTGAGTTGTCCATAATATTAATTAATTTATTTATTTATAATTTTAGCTGTCACTAAAAACCAGCCAGAATTACACTTAGCAGATGGCCATGCATAAATGGCTCACATCTTCCACTTAATAGCCACCTGCCACACCCACAAATAAAATAAGTTGACTAAAAGGATCAAAAGTACTGACCCAGTCCACTACCCAGCTCCTCCAATAGCCCACTTTTTCTTTCTGCCCTACACTCAAAGGGAATTCTTCCATATCCCTCAGAAACATTCCAAAGAAAAAAAGGTGCCAATGCAGCGACCCCCTCATAAAGATCTCATAAAATGGAGGGGGGTGTAAGGGTTTGCAGTGACGCGGTTTTGCTCGATTTTTGGTGTGGTTTTGCAGAAATTGTTATTTTAAGTTGCGCTATTGCACTTTTTTAATACCAAGCGGTTAGCAACATTTAGAAATTTTCGGGTTATTTCAATGCAGTTTGAGGTAATTTAATGTTATTCTGTGTGGTGTTTATAATGTATTTATGCAAGGTTTTGAGTATTTGTACCCCCCTTACGCCCCCCTCTCAATGGGAGGTTGGTGGAATGACCCTCAGATAACTGTGAACTGCTGATCATTTAAGTAATGTGCCAACCAAAAGTGCATTGGTTCTTTAAACAAAAGATTCTATTGTTTTACTTGTTGCAGATTTGAATAACAAAAACAATGTTTGTAAACACTGATGTCTCCTAGTAGCTAACTACTCTTTATCAGCAGATACTAAAACAATCGTCACTGGTACCAAGTGCCCAATCACTGATAAACAAGTTATGATCATTTTCCTGACGTGCAAAGTTACCATGGCAACAGTATATTCTGTTCAAAATAACTTTGTGAGGCCCTGCCAGGGTAAATTCCGACAAGTGATATGGCCCAAAAGGTAGCGACAGCGAGAAGAAACAACTTCCCTCAGCCAAATTGCGACAGTGACGGCAAAGCCGACAATAAGTGACAAGCATTTATAAACAGCGACGCGAGACATTTTAAAATTCAGACGGGCAACATGGGACCCCCCCCCTCCCCACCCCTGGCAGGGTCTCCTTTATCCAAAGAGAGATTTTGTAGAAAATTGATAAAGAAGGTATTCAGATGCCACCACAGGATCCCCAAAATTTGAAGTGGCTCTAAACAACCCTCTTAAGTTTTTCTTACAGTTATACCGTGATATAATGACCTCTATCTAACAAAGTCTTTGGTAAAGCGAATGATTTTCTTTACCCCGGTAATAGTAAAATATGGAAAAGAACTTTCATTAATGAATCCTCATTAAAGCGAACACAATTTGCCAGTCCCTTGGCCCTTTGTTATATCAAGGTTCTCTCACTGTACATAAAAAATTTAACATAAAATTGCCTTTAAACAGCTTATCACAGTATGATAAAACCTGCAAATCAGCTCTACGTTTTCATTTGCACTAAAAGCCACAAGTCGTTATCTAAACTGACAAGTACGCAATGAAACAGAGTAAACACATACATTACGGAATAAATAGTTTTGTACTTACCACAAGAAACAGCCTCTGTGATGCACATGGCTTGAAAAGTCGTTTCCACTCATCAAACTTTTCCCCAGGAAAGTGTAAAGAGTAAATTTTGAACATGACTTTTCCAGATTGAACCGTATGCCACTGATTAAAAATGTTCTTTAAGTCATCATGGAGTTGATCTTCTGCGACAACATGGAGTTGTACAGTTCTCTTAGTAAATAGAGTTGTTGACTTGAGCATTGTTGTTGCTTCAATTGCCCGGTCTCCACACACCACAGCACTTACATGAATGGTAGGTAGGGTCAATGTTCTAAAGAGAATATAACTAGCTTTAAGCCAAATGTTTAATTCACCATGAAAATAAACCTTGGCTAATTATGAGTTATACTGTCACAGGTAACAAGGGCGGATTTAGGGGTGGGTAAAGGGGGCCGCGACCACCCCTTTTTTCTTTTAAATTTTGTATTATTTTTATAGAATTCTTAGAAAAATAAAAAGTATCTATATGGCTGGCAAGTGGACAAGTAGTGTCCTGGCCACCCCTTCCTGAATTTTTTGGATTCACCCCTGGGTAATGTTCTGTTATGGATCAGTTATGGATTTCCATTGTTATTTAATTTTTATTTCCGTAAGCACATAGCATTTACGCTTGTAGGCTGAGTGAGGCTCAACTATTACACTTATGGCTGACCTTCCACACATTGCCTCTATTTTATTTATGCACATAGGCACATAAAAATTATGTGACAGTGGAAAATAAACTTAAGCCATTCTCTAAAACAAGATTTAGTTTTCAAAGGGTTCAGTTACTAAAAATCTTTAATGATCATCCCTTTAAGTTTTATATGAATCTCCCCACCCCACCCTAAACAAAAAAAACAACATAAATGAACTTACAAAAGGGATAAAGGGCATGGGATTCTACACAACTATGCTCTATGCTACAGCAGATAATGGAATTGTTTACCAATGATTGATCTTACCATAATTGTTTGAGGAAATCATCTAGAGTTGTCTCTGAGTTGTCCACAATATTTATTTATTTATAATTTTAGCTGTCACTAAAAACCAGCCAGAATTAACCTTAGCAGATGGCCATGCATAAATGGCTCACATCTTCCACTTAATAGCCACCTGCCACACCCACAAATAAAATAAGTTGAATAAAAGGATCAAAAGTACTGACCCAGTCCACTACCCAGCTCCTACAATAGCCCACTTTTTCTTTCTGCCCTACACTCAAAGGGAATTTTTCCATATCCCTCAGAAACATTCATATGGAGGGGGGTATAAGGGTTTGCAGTGACGCGGTTTTGCTCGATTTTTGGTGCGGTTTTGCACAAATTGTTATTTTAAGTTGCGGTATTGCAGTTTTTTAATACCAAGCGGTTAGCAACATTTAGAAATTTTCGGGTTATTTCAAAGAAGTTTAGGTTTTCTAATGTTATTCTGTGTGGTGTTTATAATGTATTTATGCAAGGTTTTGAGTATTTGTACCCCCCTTACGCCCCCCTCTCAATGGGAGGTTGGTGGAATGACCCTCAGATAACTGTGAACTGCTGATCATTTAATTCCCAGCAGCTGGAAAAAAATTCAGTTAATGAAAACATCAGCTGAATATCTCAATGACTAAATGCAAGCGGCTTCATGCCTTACTCCGCAAACCAAGACTTCCATTTAAGTAACGACAGGGAAAAAAACATGCCATTTGTTCTCTTTTACGTGTATAAATATTTTTCCACCCAGGTTTCTATTATCATTGTTCCTCAACAATCGGAACGATTCACGTTTTTTTATACATGTAATAACATAACCTTATCAGCATATATTATTTCTTGCCTATCATAGGCGCTAAATGTACTTCTTTACCTTTTAGTCGGAACATCTATCACTTCTTCTTTCTTAGAATTTGATTCTTTTGCAGATGACGCGAAATTATTGTTCTCCGTGGCAACTTCAAGTCCCCTAATCCCTGCAACAATCGGCTCTTGTGTTTCTTTAATGACATCTCCTTCTTGCTCCTTAACGTATAAAGTCGGTAACATAAATTCTAAGATAACCACTGCTATTAAAACTATGGCTAAGGCGATTGCCACTCTGGAGAAAAACTTTAAACCCATCTAACATCGTGCGATCAGATTCAGGCAAATTTAAATTGATCTCGTAAACCTTCGAAGTGATTCTCTGAGGTAAGTAAATATTTATTAACTGCTTGGTAACCGCTCCTTGTCCCAGTTTCGTTTACGCTTCACATGGAGTTGTGACGGTTCCGCCATAAGTGATTAAATTTTGCCAAAAATTATCCCAAGGTAAGTTTAATTCCCTTCCTAAATAACGTCAATTAGTATCTAATAGTGTCTTTCATTGATTTGCTTCCTTAGTTTTGAAAAACGAGAGCAAAAGAGAAAAAAAAAGTTATCGATGCCCATGCAATGTGGCCAACATGTAAGGACGCATGAAAATGATTGTAGTTTTTCCCACGTGGAAAAGTGCTTCATGTTCGCAGTTTTATCTGCCTACATTGCTAGGGACAGCATCTTTGTGAATTTTGGGGTCAAGGGAAGGAAGATAATGCATTTGCTTTTCGTTATCTAGCTTATTTTTTTCCCTTTCAACAACCTCGTGGATCTTTAGGGGATGCAAAATGAGCGCGAAAATTATGCAAAATTTCTCTAAAACGTGCTTTGTGTGTGTGTGGTTGAGCAAAACTACTTGAATGAAGATTTGTGTCATTTATTACTGAAATATTCACGACAGCGAGTCATTATGTTTCTACAAGAAACGAAAGCGTACCTTTCCAGCTCAAGAACGTCCGTAAATGTTTTTCTCACGTCGCTAGATGATGGATTGAAGGTTGCTTTGTTCAAGAAGTTGTGCAATGGTGTGCATTTTGGTGCACAGCAGAGGGATGCCAGAGCTGAAGTTAATTTATAGCTTAAGACTTTATCTTTTAAGTTCTGAGACGACTTAAAGAAAACTTTCATATCTCATGTTTACTAACCTCAATGTAAGTTTAAAATGGAAGTTTTTTTCCTTTCTAATTTTAGATGCAAAAGGAGGGATTAACCCTTGAGACTGCAGATTACCTCACTGATCTCCTGAAGAAGTATGAAGAAACAGAAGGTGGGCTCTCTGCTGATGCTGTCCTTCCTCCGATACCAGTGGCAAGAGATGATCCAGGTCCACCAAAGCCAGCCAAGTTCTTGGTACCTACTGTCATTCTTTGGGATCCCCTCAGTCAAGTTCCAAACTTAACAGAGTTGTCATGTCCTCATGAGATCCATGATAATGAATTTTGTGTGCTCAGAACCCACACAAGCAGCAAGAGCCATTATGGTAGATGGAAAGCTGCCCGTGGAACGCAGGATGTACCGCGTGTTCTTTATTGCTGTGATGGAAGTACATTATTGGTGAGTCGCATGTACACTTGTAAGAAAGGCCACAAAGTCATTGCTCATGATCCGAGAATCATCGAGAACATCCCTTCATCATTTCAAGTTCCATTCTTCCTGTTGCACAGAACAGGCTTCACTCGCGAACTGGCAAACTGGGTTCACTCGTGCGTGTTTGCTGGTATGACATTTCATGAGATCGAAAATGTGCTGATTCAGAGGCATCGTGATGCATATGAAGACCGCAAGTGCAAATTTGAGGCAGAATTAAAGACTTATTTGGAGAAAAACCCAGATACCGACTCAGCAGAAATTGTGAAATTCCCTGAGTTTAAGGCCTCACAAGTGCCATCTTTGGAAACCATCATGTCAAGCATAGTACACATGTTTGAGGGAAATGAGCTCTACTACATACAGAGAATGAGTGAGTGGTCTGCTAAACGCATTATCGCAGGTTATTACTTCAAAGTAGCCACTACAATCGGTGAAAAACTAGACAATGGGAAGTGGGCAACTCACTTTAAAAACATGTACACAGTCATGAATGAGAAAGGCCAAGTCATCGCATGGAAGTTTAGCAAAGAAAAAGATCTAAATGAGGTGAAAGACATCTTGGTTGGGCTGCAGCAGCGTTTCCAACAGCAAGGAAGACAACTGGAGATGATCCTTGTTCCAGAGTGTTGCGAAACCAAACAGTTGTTCCAGGATATTTTTGGTGCAGAAGTACCTGTCAAATTGGAAGTGACCAAAGCCATTCACCGAGTAGTCAGGAAAATACCTGCAAAGAAGAGAGAAGATAATCAGTTGACCAAAGCTTGTGTTCGCGACTTTGCATTGTGCCTTCGTTATCCATCTGATCGAGGAGACACCCAGCAAGAGGACACACCTCCTCCAAAGATTATTACTGAAAACCTTGATGCCTTTGTTACTGGCTGGAAAGAAATTATTGAAGGGACTGAGCGTGTCTTAACGCTGGCTGCACAGAGGCAGATTGCTCAGTTAAAAAATCACATTACAGCAGGGTGCCTGTCTGAAATCCCCGTCTCCTCCACAACTGAGAATGTTGCTGACCTGCAGAACATTTTAAGGCCAGTCTTGGAGAGAAAGTTTCTGAATGTTGACATGGCCTTGGCTCTTATATCCACGCTTTTGTATGTGTGGAATGAGAGGAAAGCTAATCAGCTGCCAATTGGTGCTCTTGTGAGGCCAATTGCAAAGTACAGGGGCACTTTAGAAGTCAGTGGTTTTACACCAAGTTCTGAGAGGTTTGGAATTGTCAAGACAGAAGAGGATGAGACCAGTGATGGCCTTTCTTCTGCCAGTTACTCCTTTGATGTTCTAGCTTTGCAATGTTTGATCCTGGATGCATTTGATGGCCACAAAGATGCAGAGGTACAGCAGGCAAGCACTGAGAACAGCTTGAGTCAGTCAGTTCTCAAGAAAGTCATTGCAAGAGCATCAAATCTGATGTCTGTGTGGGAGCTTTTGAAAACACAAGCAGTCAATGAAGTGTCCATCAACCCCCGTCTGTTGCACCTGATGGCTTGTTCTTTGATCCTGTTCAGTCGCAATGAATGTGCCATTGATGACAGATCAAACCATGAGGTACGGCTGAGCGAAATGCTGCGTTACTACCAGCTGATGGTGTTCTCGGAGAAGAAGGACACTACAGAAGCAGATGGGTTCTTCACTGCAGTCAGTTCTGGGCTCAACTCCATCCTTCGAAGTGATTTGCCTGAAATAGAATCAGTTAAACAGCACCTTGCATCCATTGGTTACCTTACTGATGAAGGGAGCAGCCTGGAGGAGAATGTTTCTGTGCTGCGACATTTGATTAGTGATGAGTGGCTGGCGAGTGAAGAAGACTACAGCAAGCTTCTGGTGTCACATATGATCAGCTTCTCAGAAGAGGCACAAGCATTCAGAAACAGAGGATACTTTAAAGGTATGAAACATAAGAGGCTCCATAAACTATGAATACATTCTCCCAACGTTTGACATGCAATTTAGCCACAATCATTCGCCAGGGTTAAATTTCAGCACCAGTACACATACATCTCATGAAATGTTTTGATACAGTCTATTATAGAGCCTGTATAATTACCATAATTGATATTTAGTGGAAGAATAATATTATAGGATGAACAATTGACTCAAGAAAACACAGTTCCACAGAGTTTTTATTTAATACTAGGGAGTCCTTTTACACTTGTATTCATTAAACAAAAAATGAAATAATGTTCTTTTCTTTAACCCTTTTAGTCCCAGTAGTGACCAACATCAATTTTCTCCTAACGATATCCATACATTGTCAAGAGATCAGGTTATGAGAATTAAAATGATCACCTAAGAAAAAATGCTTTGATCTTTTATCAAACTCTGTCAACTTATTCTTTAAAGAAATGTACAGAGATCACATTGAAGAATTTGTATGTGGATATTGGGGCATAAAGGGTTAAGCAAAGTCTCTGGTCTGAACATCTTCACACTAGGAGAGATGTTGAGTTGCTGAATTTTCCTTAATATGTTTTATAAGACAAACTCATAAAACCCATCTCTTTTTTTCTTTATAATTATGTAGTAATATTGTCCTTATTTACAGGCGGGATAGGAAAATTTGTAGATAATATAGGACTTAAGTTCTTGAAATTTACATGATCCTTGGTAGAGCAGAAAGTTTGGAATTTTTATGTTTTGTACAGAATTCTAAAACAAACATAGATTTTCTACATCATCATTATCTTTGAGGTGGCTCGATTGGATTTTTCAGGGCCAATTTGAACATTAACCATGTTGCCATTAACAGCTTTATCAAACAAAGATAAAAATTTGTTATGAGCAATGTTATGTTGATATCGAAGTCATCATAGCAACAAAAAGATGTCATTATCTATGTTACTTGCAGGAATGTATCTCAGGACTGGGTGTTTTTTTCTTTCTCCACAATCGCTCACAGGAGCTTGTTCCTCTGGTTTCGTTAATATTGCCATCTACTGTAACAAATGATAGATTTTTTTAAAAATATGATATGCTCGAGATTACTCGTCACTTTATTTGACATTCAAGTTTTAGCATCATGGAAAACTTGTCACGCAACAGAATAAGGACTCCAGTGTGCTAATTTTTTGCTGTGAATTTCATGCTTACAAGTGAGAGCCTCTGTTATTCAGAAGTTTTGTTTTAATCTGAACAGCAGTAACTAACAATGCATTTGAAATATACAGATATGCTAACTATTGTTGTCCACGAAAATATTATGAAACTTGGAGACAATAGCTTTGAATATCAAATGGCTCTGAGTCTCACTTGCAAACACGAAATTTCCAACAAAATATTGGTGTTGTGGAGTCCTTATTTTCTTGTATTACAAGTTTTCAATGATCTTGAAACTTAAGGGTCATATAAGGTGGAGAATATGGCATTTTTTAAAAATCTATTGAGCTATCCCCATGATTTTCAGACACGTTTTTGAAGAGATTGAAACTAATATGAGGTGAGATTGCATTTGAAAAGCACTTCATTTTCTAAAGATAATGATGGAACATCAAGATTGTCCAGTCTTGTATTTCTGTATTTCTAACCATAAAAACTTACTACCGAAACAAGTAGACTGTTTTTTCGCAGACGCGCGAAACAGTTGCCTCTGCAGAGAAACATATTTGAATTAAGCCTACGTGATTTATCCCTGACGCCTCAAATGTAAGCACACGTGGTCGCATTCCCTCACATTCCTGAGAATTAAACGATGGCGGGCTTCTCCATAAACAAACAAGGAAGATCTTATATCCGTGGTAAAGGCGTAAATGATAGCTTGAGATGTGTGATAATCAATTCGATCATAGCTAAAGAAATACTGTAGAACACTTTTAGCTGGATCATGTTGTATTACTAAACGAAAGCAGATAAGCGACGATAGACAGCCAAAGGTCGAGCAAAAAAAATGCGAAGGAATGTTATCACGTGCGTTTGCCTTTGGAGCTAACATCTCTTTAGACACGTGACCAAAAACGATCATCTTTATCGCTAACGGCAACTGTTACGTACGTCTGCTAAAAAACAGTCTACCTGTTTCAGTAGTAAGCAAAATATCTCAAAAATGCTCTCATAGATTTTGCTGAAACTTCATTAACATTAAAGCAGGTATTGGAGGAACAAGCTCCTGTGAGTGATTGTGCAAAAAAACTCCCAGTGCCAAGAAAATATGGCTGCAAGTTAAATAGATATCAATGTCATTTCGTTGCTACGACAATTTCAATGTCAATGTAACATTGCTCATAACAGATTTTCATATTTGTGTGATAAAGCTGTGGTAATAGCTTTTCCAAATCTGTGTTAATGGAAAGATAATTAAACCTCAAACTTGGACAGTATTGGCCCTGATTAGTTTTTTCAGTTTGAATTCTCTGGCATATAGAACTGGAAACCAGACTTTTGTAGTATTTATTTCATATAAAAACAATCCATAAAAAATGCTTTAACACTGTGTAAAGTCTGATAATTATCTGTTTTATTTCTCTTCAGATTTCTTGTATTATTGTAATGCTGAGGGGCAAGATGTTATTTTGGAGGTGTTTTCAGCCTAAATTTGATAGGCAGTGGATAATATTACAAGTTGCACTTGTACAAGCAATGAGTTCAATGTTATTGCAATAAGTTGAGTTGAATATTCCTTTTTTTTGCTTGTATTGTAGCTGAAATGTCCAATCTCCTGCCAATTGCTGCTGCTAAGGTCCTGCGAGTGCCAGTCATCGTCTTCACCTCCCTCCAGCATTTCCCTATTGTCCCTGTGGTACCATCAGATGCCATTATCATCGGCTCTTGTGTCCACGTGGCTTACAATGCAGCTGGTTTTGGAGGGTTCTTTGATGTAGGGACCTATGTTAGTAGTTCCATAGTCCTGCCAAAACTGATGACTGATCCTTTGGAGAGACGCAGGGATAGCAGGAAACGGTACAGGGAGAAGATAGCACTACAGAAGAGTAATCAAATTCCCAAGAAGAGGGGAAAGAAAGCAAAATCAGGAAATTCTCAGGAGGAGGGAGAGGAGACTCCAAAGGAAACAGATGCTGCTGATGCTGAGGTTTCACAAGATGACTCAATTCTAGATTCATCAGCACTTGATTCATCTGCACTAGAGTCTTCCACACTTGATTCATCTGCTGCTGATGTAACAGAACAAGCCATACCTGTAGATATGTCCACAGGGGAAACGGAAGGTGAAACTACAGAAACTGTGCAGGACTCCAGCCTGGCTCCCTCTGCAACTGTTGGTACTGTTGATGAAGGAGTTGAAGCTGCGGCCAACCTTATTGAAATGGCTTACAGTGAGGCGGGGGTAGATGAGAGCACCATGCAATCAGTCATTACTGAAAGTCCTTTAAAAATTGCAATCGTACCAGGTACTGAACCAGCAATAGATGAAGAACAAACCATTTTACAGTCCAGTGAAACAGAAGTGGTACCCCAAGAAGATGAAGCTGTTGCAGAGGAAAATATGCCAACCGATACCATAGCAGAGGATGTGATAGATCAGTCTATGGATTGTGAAGATAAGGAAGACAAGGCAGCTTCTAGTGAAGAGGTTTTAATCCCTGAACCTGTTGCTGCTGGACGTGGTAAGTCACTGAGAGAAGCCTCCACCCCTGGGAGAAAGCCTGGCCTGCTTGACAATGAAGCAGTTGTAACCTTCACAGACGGTGCAAACATCCAGAAGCAGACTTTTTCCTGTAGCTGTGGACGAGGAAGTGGCAAGAACCAGAAGCGTACCCAGTTCTGCTTGACTTTGGAGGGTGGTTACCTCACCCGCTGTGCCTGTTATCGGAATGCATCTGGCTGCTCCCACAGGTGTCGCTGCTACCTTTGTTGCAATCCATATGGCACAGCTCAAGCAGCAAAAGCTTCCAAACCAGCTCGACAAGTTCGCAGGTTCAGACCCAGGCACAAAGTCCAGGTGATCAAAAGTCGTATTCCAGGTCTCACCCTCTCCTCCCCTTCTATAAAATCTGAATCAGAAAGTGCAAAGTGGATGGAAGTTGACAACTTGGCATTCGAATGTCTCATAGCAGCTATGAGTCATGCTGGTCTAGAGCTTACCCCAGAGAAGATTGCTGCTGAGTACGACAATTTGTGCGTCCTGTCAAAGGATGAAGGTGGGATACTGGGAAACTTCTTACAGCCAAAAACCATCGCAGATGTTGCCCTGCAATTGGAGGTTGTGCAGAAAAATATCCGCATTTTTGAGAACTTGTACAAGAAACAAACTGAGCTTAACTGGTTTCAAGGCATGGAGGTTGTCTTTTCAACTGAAGTTGTGGTGTCATCATAAGCCACTTTTAGACAATGTTCCCTGGTCTAGGATAGAGTTAGAAACACCTACCTTGGTTGAATCTTGGTAGTATGACATTTAATTCTACTTTTTAATCATTGTACTTCAGAGTAATCATTATTGGTATGACTTGTGTTTAATATGCATGTGTGAACCTTGTCTTGCTTATCAAGTACAGTCAGGAAAAGTGACAGTGATATTTTTCTAGTAAAACGGATAGATAACAGGGTCTTAAGAAACAGACTTTCGCACTTCATGTGGTTGCTTTCTAAGGGAAATCATTCTATAAAGATTTGTGTATTCTTAACTTTAGGGCTCTTTAACTTCCAGCTTTGCGTTCTCCTTCAAAAAAGGTATCTTTTCATTAATGTGTTGCAGGCTAGCTAAAATTCTGAGCAACATTTTTATCGGTTAAACTGTTAATGGAAGGGAGAACTAGCCTGTGTAGCTGATAGGATTTGTCAGACACAACTAGTTCATTCCACATTTTTTTGTTGTCAATTGGCTGTAAAACTGTGTGAAGAATGTGGTTCAAGAGATATTCTCTCATGTCCCACTGCTCATGGAGACACAATGGAGCAGTCATTCAAAAAGATCAAAAACCACTCCTGTACTCTCTATCGCATGGCTACTACACAATAACGAAATGTGGAAGGTATGTTAAAAGAAAACAAGTGTTTTTGAAGAAAAAATGNTTGTTGTCAATTGGCTGTAAAACTGTGTGAAGAATGTGGTTCAAGAGATATTCTCTCATGTCCCACTGCTCATGGAGACACAATGGAGCAGTCATTCAAAAAGATCAAAAACCACTCCTGTACTCTCTATCCCATGGCTACTACACAATAACGAAATGTGGAAGGTATGTTAAAAGAAAACAAGTGTTTTTGAAGAAAAAATGTGTCGCTAGACATTTTCTCAGTGCTTGTAATTTTCAAGGAAATGTATTTTATTTACATTTAAGTGATCAAGAGCTTCTAATCTTTTGAATTTCAGTGTTGGTTGTTTTGCCTTGATAATAAATTTCAATCAGTCAAGACTTTACAGCAAATATTAATTGTAGTTGCATATCTTACCTTTTAGCAATCTTACATCCCCTTCAAACCGTGACAGCAACTTTAACTTTAACTTAGCTTTTGTATTCTTAAAGCATTTTCATCTGATTTCAGTTTCTGACAGAGATGGTTTAGCAAGCAGTCAGGCTGTGAGGAGTGATCAAAGTGGAAATGCCAGGCATAGCGAAAAAGTGGGAAAAGGAGAGAGAAGGAAACTCTCACTTTCCCTCCCCAGTTCCCTTTTCTTTTATCACCTCTGTTTTTCTTCTTTTTGCCATCCTCTCTCCCTCAACTCCTGGAACAGGCTGGTTCCACATCAACTCTTAAGCCAGCAACAGTACTCTACACCAATGTGTCAAAATGAACATTTTTTTTCTCTGAAAACCGGGCATCCATAGGACACTCAAACACTTAAAACTTGCCAAGTGATTCAGTTCCACCTCTGGTTTTGATATTAGGGAGTTTAAGATGCCAAGACAGCGACAGCAATGAGAAATGTCAAAAAAGCAATAGGTGTAGATTAACAAAACAACGCTCACGCTCTTTTGTACATTTCTTTACCGTTGCTGCACGACTACTCATGAAGAAGCCTCATTTCACGTTTTCATTTCACGTAAACAAGTGACTGAAATTTTCTTTCTCTCTCTCAATGTTGATATGGTTGTCAGGAATTCGAATCCAGAAGAGTTTGCTTGGATTTGAAAAAGTAAGTGAATTGGGAAAATCATGATGGAGTTTGAAAGAACTCAAATTTGACATTTTCATGGTCGTCACGGTATCTTTAACTCACTGTTATTTTTTGGAGGGAAGGAGAGAAACTTGGCTACAAACAAACATAACACAACACAATGCCTAGCCTCCAAATAGCCCTGTTCTGGCCCCTCCACCTCTCTCCAGGCATTGTGTGACAGAGAGGGAGAGGCCAGAGCTAGACTCAGCCAGTACAATACAACACACAACACAATACTTTAGTCAAGAGATAAAAACTAAAGTTACAAAATATCTCTTGAAAGGGGATATCTAGAGGTTAACCCTACATAAAAGATACCGTGTAAAGTGTGCACAGACACCCCAGCTTGTCATGTAAGGGGAGGAATGTATGTTTGGGCCTTAAAAATGCCTGCATAGGTGGGTACACATTGCTGAGCAAACAAGTGTATGCAAAGAAAAGGAGCAATACACAACATTGTCTCAGAACTCCACTTTAATGTACAAAGAATTTCAAGTTCATGGAATATTATTTATGTCTTGAAGAAAGTTGAGAGAAAGCCAGATGATTTTTGACCAGTCAAAGTTCACCAATGGAAAGCCTGCCCCAAAGGAGATGCAGTGTTTTATCCCCAGATGAAACACCAAGAAGAGAGTTAAAAATATGACGTGCAGTAGAGTGATGAACTTTGAGGTGTTTCATCTGGTGATGAAACACTGTGTCTAATGCTGAATAATTTTAGAAGGAGAAATTAAGATGCAAAAATGACAGTTTTTCATCTGATTTTCAAACAATCATTTAACATTAATTTCCTTTTTTATGAATTATTAATGAGTTAGAGAATATAACATCTTCAACCATAATAAGCTGTCATGTCAGCTAAATGTTGACCACGTTGGGACAGGATACCTTGCTTGTTTTACTGAACTTGACATCATCATCAATATTATTTCTGTGTGTATTAAAATGGAAAACAGGACGATCATCCTAGTGGATAAACTATCTGCTTAGCTTGTCTTGAAAACTGAACTGAAATATTTTTATGGATAACAGTTATTTGTCTAGAAGGATCATTCATGTCCTGGCTTGTCAAGATGATAAGTTTGTTATTAAAACATGTTTATTATTCTCTAGTCACTGATAGCATCTGTATAATCTTTTTCATATTTTAACCCAAACTAAAGCTTGAGCAATCAAAAAACAGCTTGACCTATAATATATCAAGTCCACAAAAAAGTTTAATGAATGAATTTGAAAATACTCATTCCACTACCATTGGAAACAAAAACGATGTACTGATAAATAATACTGTTTACCAGTATTTTACAAAGTTGTAGAATGCAGATTTCATGTTGAAAAAATACTGTCCATATACATGTTCCATAATTTTCATTTAAACTTTGTCTCTCTTGCTCCCTTCCTGGTTTACTGTATAATATTATGTAATTATCCTCTTACTCCTGCTGATGTTTTCATCGATTCCACTGATAGATACAAGTAATAAATCACTGCTTCACTGCCAAAAGAGAATGCTTGCGGCCATGGCTATACAGCAAACAGCAACATAAGGACTTTTTCTTTCACCTACAGAAAAGAGTTAAGGGAAAGAGTATCAAATACGTAGTCAGATTTTTAATAAACCTCCATTAACAGAATTCTTCATGATTTTCAAAATTATTTTTAAATATAGTTTTACTAAGATTTCTAACACAATATAAAGCAGGATAAAGAATAATTGCATGATGTCTAAATTTTCAGCCAAAATCCATCCAGCGTGAAATAAAAGATTGATTGATTGAGGATACAAATTGTGTCAGTTACATAGGTACATTTTCACAACAGGATAGGAAGAGTAGAGTAGGAACTCTCCACAAACCCTTTTTGGCTTAACAAGGAGAGCCCCTGCTGTAAAGTATAAAATGATTAACACATAATCAACATGTGAATGGCTGTACTTGTTTCAATTAGATAATTACAAAGGCTATCTTTGGTATGATTATATTACCTCAATAAATCAATATAATATTTTTTAATCCTTTTCTTAAAAATATTAAGACGTCACATTTGACCACACATTTGATTAATGATGCAAACTGGTAAATATTAAGGTGGGCTAAAGGAAGAAAAATTAACAGTAGTCCAGTCTCACCTATTCTTGCAGCCTTCCAGAATATTCCCAACAGGCTGTGTAACAAAGAATTGTTGTCAATTGGCTGTAAAACTGTGTGAAGAATGTGGTTCAAGAGATATTCTCTCATGTCCCACTGCTCATGGAGACACAATGGAGCAGTCATTCAAAAAGATCAAAAACCACTCCTGTACTCTCTATCGCATGGCTACTACACAATAACAAAATATGGAAGGTATGTTAAAAGAAAACAAGTGTTTTTGAAGAAAAAAGGTGTCGCTAGACATTTTCTCAGTGCTTGTAACTTTCAAGGAAATGTATTTTATTTACATTTAAGTGATCAAGAGGTTCTAATCTTTTCAATTTCAGTGTTGGTTGTTTTGCCTTGATGATAAATTTCAATCAGTCAAGACTTTACAGCAAATATTAACAATCTTACATCTCCTTCAAACCCTGACAGCAACTTTAAAATTATTTTACTGAAGTCCATGCTTGTGTATTCTTAAAGTATTTTCATCGGATTTCAGTTTCTGACAGAGAGGGTTTTAGCAAGCATTTAGGTTGTGAGGAGTGATCAAAGTGGAAATGGCAGCTAAAAAGTGGGAAAAGGAGAGAGAAGGAAACTCTCACTTTCCCTTCCCAGTTCCCTTTTCTTTTATCACCTCTGTTTTTCTTCTTTTTGCTATCCTCTCTCCCTCAACTCCTGGAACAGGCTGCTTCCACATCAACTCTTAAGCCAGCAACTCTAAACCAACATGTCAAAATGAACATTTTTTTCTCTGAAAACCGGGCATCCATAGGACACTCAAACACTAAAAACTTGCCAAGTGATTCAGTTCCACCTCTGGTTTTGATATTAGGGAGTTTAAGATGCCACGACAGGTACAGCAATGAGAAATGTCAAAAAAGCAACAGGTGTAGATTAACAAAACAACGCTCACGCTCTTTTGTACATTTCTTTACCATTGCTGCACGACTACTCATGAATAAGCCTCATTTCACGTTTTATGGAGGACGTAAACAAGTGACTGAAATTTTCTTTCTCTCTCTCAATGTTGATATGGTTGTCAGGAATTCGAATCCAGAGGAGTTTGCCTGGATTTGAAAAAGTAAGTGAATTGGGAAAATAATGATAGAGTTTGAAAGAACACAAATTCAACATTTTCATGGCTGTCACGGTATCTTTAACTCGCTGTTATTTTTTGAAAGGAAGGAGAGAAAATTGGCAACAAACAAACATAAAACAACACAACACTTAGCCTCCAAATAGCCCTGTTCTGGCCCCTTCACCCCTCTGCAGGTGTGTGACAGAGAGGGAGAGTCCAGAGTTAGACTCAGCCAGTACAATCTGTGTACAGTGTACACAGAAACCCCTGGCTTGTCATGTAAGGGGAGGAATGTATCTTTGGATCTTAAAAATGCCTGCATAGGTGGGTACACATTGCTGAGCAAACAAGTATATGCAAAGAAAAGGAGCAATATGCAACATTGTCTCAGAACTCCACTTTAATGTACAAAGAATTTCAGTTTCATGGAATATTATTTTATTTATGTTTTGAAGAAAGTTGAGGAAAAGCCAGACGATTTTTGACCAGTCAAAGTGCACCAATGGAAATGCAGTGTTTCATCCCCAGATGAAACACCGAGAAGAGAGTTAAAAATATGACGTGCAGTGAAGTGATGAACTTCGAGGTGTTTCATCTGGTGATGAAACACTGTGTCTAATGCTGAATGATTTTAGAAGGAGAAATTAAGATGCAAAAATGACAGTTTTTCATCTGATTTTCAAACAATCATTAAACATTAATTTCCTTTTATGAATTATTAATGAGTTCGAGAATATAACATCTTCAACCATAATAAGCTGTCATGTCAGCTAAATGTTGACCACGTTGGGACAGGATACCTTGCTTGTTTTACTGAACTTGACATCATCATTAATAGTATTTGTGTGTGTATTAAAATGGAAAACAGGACGATCATCCTAGTGGATAAACTATCAGCTTAGCTTGTCTTGAAAACTGAACTGAAGTATTTTTATGGATAACAGTTATTTGTCTAGACGGATCATAGCATCTGTAAAATCTTTTTCATATTTCAACCCAAACTAAAGCTTGAGCAATCAAAAAACAGCTTGGCCTATAATATATCAAGTCCGCAAAAAAGTTTAATGAATGAATTTGAAAATACTCATTCCACTACTCTTTGAAACAAAAACAATGTACTGATAAATAATACTGTTTACCACTATTTTACAAAGTTGTAGAATGTAGATTTCATGTTGAAAAAATACTGTCCATATACATGTTCCATAATTTTCATTTAAACTTTGTCTCACTTGTTCCCTTCCTGGTTTACTGTATATTATGTAATTATCTTCTTACTCCTGCTGACATTTTCATTGATTCCACTGATAGATGCAAGTAATAAATTGCTGCTTCACTGCCAAAAGAGAATGCTTGCGGCCATGGCTATACAGCAAACAGCAACGTAAGGACTTTTTCTTTCACCTACAGAAAAGAGTATGGAAAGAGTATCAAATTAATAGTCTGAATTTAAATCAACCACCATAAACAGAATTCTTCATGATTTTCAAAATTATTTTTAAATATAGTTTAATGAAGTAACCTTTTACTAAGATTTCTAACACAATATAAAGAAGGATAAAGAATAATTGCATTATGTCTAAATTTTCAGCCAACATCCATCCATCCTCAATCAATCAATCTTTTACTTCACGCTACAAATTGTGTCAGTTACATAGGTACATTTTCACAACAGGATAGCAAGAGTAGAGTAGGAACTCTCCACAAACCCTTTTGGGCTTAACAAGGAGAGCCCCTGCTGTAAAGTATAAAATTATTAACACATAATCAACATGTGAATGGCTGTACTTGTTTCAATTAGATAATTACAAAGGCTATCTTTGGTATGATTATGTTACCTCAATAAATCAATATAATATTTTTTAATCCTTTTCTTAAAAATATTGAGACCTCACATTTAACCACACATTTGATTAATGATGCAAACTGGTAAATATTAAGGTGGGCTAAAGGAAGAAAAATTAACAGTAGTCCAGTCTCACCTATTCTTGCAGCCTTCCAGAATATTCCCAACAGGCTGTGTAACAAAGAAAAATCAGCCATGGTTACCCTTCAATGGGAACAGGCTTAACAAAGATGGGGGCTTAAAATAAAGGAGGGGCTTATTACAGAGATTACAGTAACTGACGGCCTGAATGTAAGGCATTTAAAGGGGAAGATAAAGGGTGATGCAATGGGTATGTGAGGGAAGAGGGAAAGGAATGCCTGCAAGGACATATTGTTTGACCCGGTTTTTTACACTCAGATTTGTAGCATATGCAGATTGCTATTTGTTAATTACGTGTCCATCAGAGTGGTAGAAATCATAACCATGCTAATTTGAATATTGGTTCTCAATTAGCACCCTGATGAGATCCTAACAACTCTAGGCTGATGTAAAATATGTAAGCAATTTGGTAAAAATGGATATTGAATATTTGCTCAACATCTTAGTTTGATGGGTGAGCCTTTCTTGGAGAAGAACAAGATACATGTATCAGACTATTAATTTGTACAGAATAAGTNATGTGAATGGCTGTACTTGTTTCAATTAGATAATTACAAAGGCTATCTTTGGTATGATTATGTTACCTCAATAAATCAATATAATATTTTTTAATCCTTTTCTTAAAAATATTGAGACCTCACATTTAACCACACATTTGATTAATGATGCAAACTGGTAAATATTAAGGTGGGCTAAAGGAAGAAAAATTAACAGTAGTCCAGTCTCACCTATTCTTGCAGCCTTCCAGAATATTCCCAACAGGCTGTGTAACAAAGAAAAATCAGCCATGGTTACCCTTCAATGGGAACAGGCTTAACAAAGATGGGGGCTTAAAATAAAGGAGGGGCTTATTACAGAGATTACAGTAACTGACGGCCTGAATGTAAGGCATTTAAAGGGGAAGATAAAGGGTGATGCAATGGGTATGTGAGGGAAGAGGGAAAGGAATGCCTGCAAGGACATATTGTTTGACCCGGTTTTTTACACTCAGATTTGTAGCATATGCAGATTGCTATTTGTTAATTACGTGTCCATCAGAGTGGTAGAAATCATAACCATGCTAATTTGAATATTGGTTCTCAATTAGCACCCTGATGAGATCCTAACAACTCTAGGCTGATGTAAAATATGTAAGCAATTTGGTAAAAATGGATATTGAATATTTGCTCAACATCTTAGTTTGATGGGTGAGCCTTTCTTGGAGAAGAACAAGATACATGTATCAGACTATTAATTTGTACAGAATAAGTGCAAGTCAATTTCCACTCCATTACTAAAGTAATGACATTCATGCAGTGGAATAATCTGAGGCAAAGGTCAACAGTAAAACAAAACAAATGTGACCTCAAATGGCTAATTGAATAAAAGATCTGGTTGCCTAAGGAAAAAGGGATCTTTAAAAACACCATAACTGTTAAAAATCAATTAAAGGCAGAAATGCAGTTTTGTTTTACTAATTTCTCTGAAGAGAGAAAAGATAATATGAGATGTGGTTCACATACCATGATTTTCTATACCTGCCAACTTTTCTTAAGATAACTCAGATTTGTGGATCTAATGATGGGGAAATGACAGAAACAATGGCTTTCTTGCAAGCCTTCTTCTCCCTTCCGCACCCATTATGTTAGCATGCCTGCATGAATTCTCTTCTCCCCCTCCTCTTAGCAATGCCTGTCATGCAGGCTACAATCTAATAGATCCCCCTACCCACCAAAATCAAGGATGGGAAAGTGGCACATTTTGGCCTTTGGAGGGCTTCATCCTCTGGGGGAAGGGGGATTTGCTGGCTGTTCCAGTTTATTCTGTCCGTGATTGCAATCTGGGACAAAATAGATAGAAAACTTTGACCCCCTCTCCCATCTCCTTGCCCATCCAAATCAAGGATGAGGTGTTTTGGCCTTTTCCTTGATTTTGGAGTGATGGGGGCCCAGTCCCTCCAGACAGGCAACATACTCATACCGGCCAATACAGAGTGTAACCGGTACTCAAAATTAATTATACCAGAGGTTTATATCGTGTGTCGTGTGGTTTATATCTGCAGTTTTTGAAAAACACCTTACTTTGATTGAACTAAAGAGGCAATTAATTTCCGGGGCTAAAGGCGTAGATCGTAGTTTTTCCACGTCATCACACAACAATCTTTTAATGTAGTGGTGAACTGTATTGTGCACTATTAAAAGGCCAAACACAGAGGTGAAACAGGGCAATCTTATACTCAGAAATGTCAATACCATAAGCAGAGGAGTTTTCTTACCCGGTTTTATTCTTGTCCAAGAGAGCAGGGTAAATCGATCGAATGTAAGCACATGTACAGATTAACAAAAGCACCACTGTTAACAAACTTTGAAAGTTGAAGATGGCAGACTGTGAAGATAAAATAACCCAACATAAAATCGATCAGAAAAATTTTAAATGGAGCTGTTCAATAAAGAAATCAAATATGGATTGAATGGTAAAAATCTGTCAGCTTACCATCGTTGTCTGCAAACCCTTCACCAGATTTCAATATGGCAGATTTGTCATATTCGATACCTGTTATATGAAGCAGTTTATGCAGGTTGTGGCACAGGCTCACCAGCCTACAAGGCTCGGAGCACAGACTAACCAAAGATTTATTGAAGCGGTCTGGCTGTGGGAATATCCCCTATTTTTGGTTCTTTGTTTGAATAAATGATTATTTTTTGACAGGCAGGTAAGCTAATGGAAAAATGCATGAAATTAGCGAAATCCTATATAAGAACTTTCATCTCAGACCCAACCAAGGCTAGGTTTATGACAATAGGCATTATGTAGTGGGGCTCTCAGAGACATGACGATAACTGAGCAATTTTCATGGTCAGGTCGAGATATTGCAATCTTCATGTGGTTGTAATATATAACCAAATGTCTGTATTAAGGACTGGACATGGACTTTTACCCCCGCTAATTGACCTGACAGCTATGCCAAGCTGATGAGCCCCAACAAGGGCAAAACAGCTAGCCATGGCTGCCACTGCCCGGGTGATATGGTTGTGCATATGTGTAAGGTAGTAGCCATACAGCAGAGTTGCGTGTGCCTCAGAGCAGTTGAAGATGCTAAATAGTGAAATTAAAATAATATTATATACCCTGTTTAAGACTAAAGACCCTGAAAACCATACCCTGTTAAGTGGCACATACCTGTATAGGTCTGTATAGGCTAAATAAGGGAGTGCCCCCTAGGGGTTCAGCCCTGGCATAATGTTAATCCTGAACTCACTGGAGTAAGCTTGTTGAGGAAATGATTATTATTGTACATCCTGAAAAATTAAGGATTTCAAACCCAACATCCCTCTACAAATTTCGGTTTTGCATAATGCACTTTGATTTCATTTTACTCTTCCACCATAAAATTAATCTTCCTTCACAGCAAAATTATAAGTGACACGAGAAATATAGCCCCTGTGTGGCAATCGACAAACTAAAAGGAGGAGAGAAACGGTAAATTACAAAGTGCAAGATTGGGAAGGGTGTGGAAGAAAGCTAAGGAGAAGTACCCTGTGAGCAGAGGTTTCTCCCTTGCTTGGCTTTTAGCGTTTACAAAGTCATTTGTGTTACTTGCAAGTGGCATAGTTAGTTTGTTCTTTATACCTGGCACAAAGAAAAAAGTAACTTCACCACTAACAAGCAACGCGAACAGCTTTGTAAAATATTTGCTTAAAGCCAAGAAAGAGAGAAACATCTGCTCGAAGGGGAAAGGATCAGGGAAGTTCCTTTCTCTTTCTTCCTCCACCATGGTTGGGAGCCCAGTGCTTGGAACCTGTGAAACCTGGGTGTCCGGTATATGACTTTAATGGAAAAGCTAAGATTTCTTAGTTGCCCAAAAACAAAAGTAAGGCACCAGCGGCCACTCGGCACTGCCATAGCACAGTCCTACCTTCCTTCGTGCCCTTTATAATACTTAAGCTCCCTTCCGCTTCAAACACTTGCCACACAACTCACTAGAAGCGTGGGCTCTTGCTGGCAAATAACATGAGCTTCGTGTGTCCCTACCTAACTTTGAGTTGTTTAATGAGCTTATATGTGACTATAAATTAAAATTATCAGAGGTAAAAAATGACAAAATTCTTTCACAAAGAGTGTTTATTCTTCTGAACAGGGCTGACACTGGATATTTAAATATTAAATACAATATCCTAGTGACATCACTTCTCTTACCAGTGTGATTTCACCATTCACAACTCTGTTTTACAAAAACATTAAAATGCACAAAAAAGCAACTTCAAGTCGTAATGACTTGCTTACCTAGAACATGCATCACATAAAATCCTGTCTGGGTGACATACATTTTTTCAATACCTTGTCACAAAATCAGATCATTGGTAACAACTTTAATAGGCATTAACATTACATCAATGTTTCTGACTGGTCAACAGACTTAGGGGCTCTTCTTATGGAACCAGAATGACTTTCATTCTGTAATGAATTCATTCCATCTCCTTATATTTCTCTATATTTGTTTACATGATACCGAATTGCAATGTTCCATCCCCCTACAGGTCATTCTAGAATTAGTTCATTCCGGCTTCCAGGCCGCATGAAATTCCCGTTCTGGTACGGAATTCCATTCTGGCATCATGCAACTGAAAATTAGCTTTGTTCTGGATTGAAAATCACAAATTGTTTAGTCTGAGTTGAGTGGTGTTTGCGTATCCGATATGGGACGAAAACCACACATTTCAGCGAGACACCTTAGGCTCAGCCGTTCAGTTTTATAATGTGAATGCAGTACAAGCTTCACACTTGGACGAAACTCGTTCTGGAATGAAAGTCATTATGGTATCATATAAAAAGCCCCTAATAACATTATTTCCATCAACCCATCAGACCATTGCTTAGAATGAAACATCTTCTCTAAACAGTACATCATAAAGAAAATTGTTGAAACTACTGATTCACTGATGACCCCTTAAATGACCATCTTTAAGTCAGAGAATAGTGCCCATTAGTCAATACGTCTACTAGTTAGAAGGAAAAAGCTTTGATGAACAATAGAACTAAAGTATACAAAAATTAATGAGCCTGACCCAGGCTACCGAGCTCAAGGAGAGTTTCTAACATTTTCAGTAAAAGTATATAGATTAAAAGTAAACATAATGGGACAATTGAATACAGGAACACTCTTTTGTTGAAAAAGAGAATCACCCAAAACAGAAAAGTGTATATTTTTTTCTCTTTATTTGTGGCTATTAATTTTTAAACTGCAATAATTTTTCATTCTGCGTGCAGTTAAAACAAAGTGACCAATTATTTATTTTATTACGATATCCCAAAGAGAGAAGAAAATTGAAGTCATCATCAATAACACAACAGTGAAATATGAACAGGAGAGGGTTTTCATTTTTTTCGACAATTTTTAATAACTTCCTCAAGAAAAATGTTAAATTGTTTATGTCACTTAATGTATAGGATTGTAACTGAAATTCTAATAAACAAAATATGAGAAAGGAAAATGACTGGAGGAATAAATCTACAATCAAGTGTACACAAAGAATTATAATAATATCTAAAGGATATGATTCCAACAAGCAACAGAGAGTAAAAAGAAACATGCATATTAATTTATAATGTTTAACTCTTGCAGTTCTATGACCATTGACAGCAGTCCTAAAGAAGGATTGTTTCAGAAAGTCATCATCAACTATGGATTTTTCACAACTTCCAAGTAACACCAAGCCTTGAAATGTAGAAATAGTTTGACAAATCTACTGATTGGAAAGCTGAACAGGGAGTTGCTCTTGAGATGAAAATGCTGCACATGCCTTATTTCTGCAGCAGCTTTTGATGTCTTCAATATCCAACAAAGCAGTCTTGTCCTCAATTAAAATAATATTTTTCCTGTAGTGGAAGTAGAATTACAGGATTAGGACATGCAATAAGAACTTTAGTACCAAAATGGGTACCTTTGAGGAATCACTAAATATGCATATTGCAAGTACCATGTCTTAATCAGTGCCCAGTTCAATGAATGGAAGCAACGACGAAAAATACACTACTAACACCAATCATCTTTGTCTACTTGAAAATCATGTGACCTACGATTTCATGTGACTGAAAGTATGTAACCTGGTTGCATGAATTTGTTACTAAACCTTGCACTGGTGATATCATGACAAAACTATATCAAATGATTGAGCAAAATAGCAAACAAAAAGAGAAAGCAAATTTAGCCACAGGTATAAAGCACCAATGCTGCTTTACCTTGCCTTTTTAGTCACTACTTTGGCTTGATTTGCTTTCGCTTCTATCTCTTTCCTCTCTGTTTGTTTTATGTTCATCTCTTGGTTTTGCTCCACCAAATATTGTCATCTGTTGAACACTTGATGCCACTTCATTCACGGGATCTTTAACTGTGCGTGGCTGGAGTTTTAATCTTGGTCTGGCTGCAAGCTCCTCTATTTTTATAAAGGAAAAAAATAAATGTGAATGTTTTCTAAAAACACTGTAATAACTGCTTCACCAAATGGAGAATCTTTAGGGATTTTCATGTGCCAGGACACAGCAGTAGCAAATAGGTATGGTAACATGTTTTCTTTACTTTACACACCATAAACTGCTGCTTATAAGATCCCCTAGCACACTTATAAGCCCTCCCAGCTACAAGCCCAACTACCTGTACATGTCCGATTATAAGCCCCCCAGATATAAGACCCCCTCTCGCTTGTATTGAAATTAATTTGATCTATTATGACCTTTTGAGGCTTAATTAAAGGGCAGTAAATGCAAAATATATTTTGAACAGCACTACTATGGCTTGTTTTAAAGCACTTTTTCTATTCCGGATATAAGCCCCTCAAATCATAAGCCCCTCCTTTTATATGCCCTCCAAAAACCCCTTAAGAAAATTTATAAGAGCAGGGCTTAAAAGCAGCAGTCTATGGTAAAGAAATTTGGAGGTTTTGTGTTTTGCTATGTATTGCTTCAACTTTGGTTACTTCAAGGAGTGAAGAGATTAGAGTACTTTCTTACCTGCTGAAGGTTCTCTAAACTCCTCCGACCGTGGTGGACCTCTTCTATCACCTCCTCCAAATCCACTTCTGTTACCATATCTTCCTCCACCAGATCTTCTTCCTTCATCTCGCCCACCCCAGCCATCTTCTCGGCCACCCCAGCTTCCTCCACCACCGCCCCAATTGCCACCACCTCCTCTGCTGCTCCAGTTTCCACCTCCTGTAAATATCAAAGTAGTGATCAAAAACATACAACAAATTCTTTCTAACAATCTTTATCTGACTAATTTTTGGTTGTGAATCAAGCCATGAAGATCCATCTTATAACTGGGTACCGGGTGGAGCCTATGACTAGATTAGTGAAATACCTATTTTGAATTTTAAGCCATTCTTCTAGGGTTTAAAACTTTCTGAACTTGTGCACGTGACCTTTACAAAAGTAAGTAAAATGTAAATTTTTTTTGTTCAATGTGGAAATGCAATAAGCTGCTTCAGCTAGTTAAATAACACTCAAATAAATTTAATAATCTACAATAAATGATCCTCAAGAGGCAAGAGAGAACCAGAGTTGAACCTTGGAATCTGAGCCATATACGACATGCACAGGAATTGAACCCAGAGTGTCAGTTTGAGACACCATTCAGCTATGCTAAAAGAGTAATGCATTTAAATACCTCGTCCACCATGTTGTCCATCTCTGTCACCATATCCACCTAAAAAGAAACAGAAAATCAGGTCAGGCATATGCACTGTTGCATCAACCCTTTAAACCCCAGTATCCACATACAAATTCTCTAAGCTGATCTCTATACATTTCCTAACAGAATTAGTTGAGAGAACTTGATAAAAGATCAAAGCATTATCTCTTTGATGATCATTTTGTTAATTTATTATCCTCAGAATAATATTTTTTCCCTAAATTGTGTATTGAAAGTAAGGAAAAAATTTATTTGTTTTCTCTGACAACTTGACACCAGCTGTCCAATTTCACCCCCTCCCCTGGTCCCACCCCTCATCCCTTTTCACCATTGCCTAAACCTAGCTAACATAGGAAATCTCTCTACACAGGATTTAACCCATTTTTATTTAACTTATATTTTATACCAGTAGGTAACTATTTGTACCCCTACCATGAGAATATCCCCCTCCACCTCGTCCTCCTCTTCCTCCACCTCTGCCACGCCCACCTTCTTTGCGCCCTTCGGCTATGTCAACTCTCAGAGATCTTCCTTGATTGCCAATTTCCTAATATTAACAAAATTTTAGTTACATTATCACATGGCATGAATAGCAGAGCAGGCTGTCCAGAAGGTATTTCTTTGAATTCTTGTAGGGGTGCATGCCATGAAGTGGCAATTAAGGGGCAAGGTTTCGGTGTGCTGTGAATATATAGTGCTTAAGTACAATAACAATTTCCATGATAAACCAGCTGTCACATGATCCTGTTTGCTCAGGACAGAAGCAGTAAAGCCTGTCATGGTCACTGGGGGATAGTTTTGATCTCTTCCTTTTACTCTTGAAAATAATAATAATAAGATATTGCTGGGCCTTCAGCATTCCGGTACTTTCCAATGCAGGGTTGTCAAAAGTAGCTGGCTGCCAGTGAAAATCGCCGCCTTCTTGGTTACTTCCGGCTGGCTACTCTGCTCAGCACTTCTTTACAGATGGTTTTTTTTTAATAAAATATCCCTAGACTGGGCGCTTACTTTGACAACTCAGCTGACAAACCTGCAATGCACTGGAGTGAATGAAATTCAGGCAACTCAATCAGCCAGAATTTCATCATAAATGGGGTGATTTGAAGAAGCCCATATTCTTGTCTCCACAATACCCTAAGAATGATGTTGTTCCTGGCACGCACTGTATGTTGTTTACCAGTCATTTTTACTTTTGGTGGTGCTTGGTGTTATTAACAGTAAGGTAGGTCAGGACTTCCATGAACACTACCTGTGCTTACAGGGCTCAAAATAATTTTCAGACAGTGGCCAGACCTAATGACTGGCCAAAGAAATTTTTTGTCAGTCAAGCCTTGATTCTGACCAGTCAAAACATTGAAAAAAATTAACTTATCCTTGCTAAATTTTCTAATTATGAACGTGATTGTACAATAATGTATTTAAACAAAGAGACCAAAATCTAAGTTTACAGCTGTGGATTTGGCTGTTTGGCCAAGAATGAGGGTGTTCATGACCGGTCAACACCCAAGGTCAACATGACTGGCCAGTGTAGTTTTTGGCCAATCAAGTTGCCATTCTAGCCGGGCACTGTCTGTTGACCAGCCATCATTTTTGGCAATGGCTTAGCCACAATTTTATTCAGCTCAGAGATGCAACCCAAGCTCACCAAATGACAATAAACTGTATGTTAACCCTGTAAGCCCCAGTATCCACATACAAATTCTCCAAACTCATCTCCATACATTTCCTTAAAGAATGAGTTGAGAGAATTTGTAAGAAGATCAAGGCATTTTTACTTGAGTGATGATTTTATTAATTCTCATAACGTATCTGTCGACAATGTATAGATATTGTTAGGAGAAAATTGATCTTAGTCACCATTGGTTAGCCAATCAATGTACATGTGTGTACTTACTGCACCATCATACAATAAGGCTTCCTTAAGAGCAGCAAGATCATCAAATTCAACATAACAGAAACCTGCAAAAGGGATTGAGTCACAGTTTTAAATCACTCACAATCTTCTCTGATCAGTAGACTAAAAATATTTGACTCAAATTAATCTGTTTTTTTTTATAATTCAGCTCAAGAGAAGAGCCAGGAAATTTTAAAAATAATGTTTTATTATGGTACCTTTAAATTTATCAGTTTCTTTATCTCTCACCAATCGAACACTTCTGATATATTCCTACAATAAAATCAAAATATTTATCATCCTCAAATTTGTCTATTGAGAGGTCATTGAACAAGCATTACAACTGACAAGCCATTATTTACAGACTGTTCATTATTTTATTAATAGGCGAGAGCTTGTGAGATTTGAGGAGGAGGAGGAGGAGGAGGTGGGGGCAAGCCTAAAAATAGAGGGAACCAGACAGAAAGTAAGGTCTGTTTGTAAAGGGGGATCCCCAAAAATTCACCCACAAGTTTTCCATTGATGGCATCTGTAGCAATGCAAACATTCTGCCAAAAATTCAAAACTACCATTTCTAACCATCAGAAAATTTGCATTTTTACTTGGAAGCATGGCAATAGACCCCTGCTTTGTTACCTTCCTGAAAGCAACTCTATTCCATGAACTTTTTCAAGACAAAATATAGCCAAAACTTAAAATCTAAGGAACTGCTGAGACCATTTAAAATTGGTAGGACTAAAAAAAATAGGGGTCATTTATCTGCCTTTGACCATAAATAATTTGCAGAAGAAGTATCATGATTAATTATTAAAGGACCATCAACTCACAAAAATGTGATTGTGACTCCCAGTCCCTGTCGATGACATTGATCATGTGTGGAAATAAGCAAGGATTCATTTAGAGCTGCAGTTGTACACTAAAACCTTCACCGATCATTTGCTCACCAACCTCCTTCCCTTTTAATGAGGAAAATACTTTTAAAGTCCCCCTGGGAATTTAAAAATGAAGTAATAGATGACATCCCTTGTTTCTGATAAACACCTTTTTCCCTCATCCAAAAAAAACCTTGGATTTAACCAGGTTCAGTTCTAAGCAATTTCATTTATCTGCAGAATACTCATGCAGAATACCTTGCCACTCCTCAACACCTGTTATATTTGCATGTGTCTTGCATGCGTTGCCATGATTATTGTAAAAGAAGACAACGTTATCCACGCCTTAAAATATTTAAAGAGAAACAATGAAAATGTGACGAAGTATTCGCGCCAAACTTAACTAGCAAGAGTTTGCTGCAGCACTTTATCTGAATAACGAGATCGCTGACTTATAAGTTTTTTGTTAAGCTTGTATAAAACACTGTTGTTGTGAGATCAATAAGCTTGTAAATCTTATTGACAGCAATGTCAATGTTGAATGGAAAAACATCTGACCTGCAAGTACACTACAGCTTCGCTCTCTTTAACACCCGAGCAAAACCTACACCGAAAGTAAAGCCATGCAGTTTGAAGGTAAAGAATCGAGAGAATCACTGCACGGGAGAGCACGCGTGGGTTATTATAGAAATCATGATCGGAGCATCAACTCCATTCAAACTAGGCCTTTTTTTTGTCTTTGATCGGTACGATAACTAACCTTAATATCTGCAAAAATGCGATCCAGATCTCCTTGGACAGTTTCTGGGGGAAGTCCCCCTACAAATGCAGTGAAAGGTGGCTCTGTCGGAAGTGGCCTTGGACCGCGATCGCGATTCCCTCGGTCACCTCCTCCACCACGCCGTCTTCCTCCACCGTACGATCCACCATAATCCCTAAGGAACAAAATCGAGTTTGTTATACAAAATTTCTACAACGAGGAAATTTGATGATTTTTACCTAGGAGCATCGCCAAAATTATCGTAGAATCCTTTTCCACCAAACTCGTTTCTGCCGTCGAAGTCGTCCGCCATGTTGGCTGAACACAAAACAGACCATAATTTTAGCAACATATTTTCGCAACACAATGAAGCGAGACCATAGTGTACATAGTCAGCGGTAACTTAACACAGGATATTTATTTGGTGTAACATCACATAAGATGTCTTCTAAATAAAGTAAAAATGGCGACGGGCATGGACATTGGTGAAAGAAGATCACACGGTAAATATCGTAGAACGCAGTCATATTTGTAACCTTGTAATTTTTGACATGACAAAAATACATGACCTGTTTCTTTTTCACGTTCAGAAACAGAAGACCAAGCACGTGTTAGGTTTCAAGTTGAACTGGAGCTTGTACAGTGTCTCGCCAATCCTCATTATCTCAATTGTAAGTGTCTGTGTTGTTTCTCAAGTCTTATGTCCTAGCTGGAGCTTTAGGATGTCTTATCTTAAAATGAAAGATAAATGCAAATGGAACACTTGACGGCCCACTCCGCTCATGTTCAACAGAATACAGAGACATGCATATTGAAACAATGTTTAAAACCTTCCCCTAAGGCTGGCGGTATGCCGGGGCGAGGGGGGGTGGGGGGACGGGGAAGGGTCCCATTTGAAAGTTAAGGGTTAGGGTTAGCAGGGCTGGACATTAACAGCTGCACCCAGGGCAACTAAAAATTTTATCCAGGCAATTAATTTAAGTATCCTAGTTGCCCGATCAGGCAACTGCAATTTCTGTGAAAGTTGTAGGTTAATATGACATGACTCAGTATTTTTGTATCAAGTCTATCTTTTGTATTATCAAAACTGTTTTATACTTGTAAAGGTTTGTATTTACATGCATCATGCGCGACTGCAGAAAATTAAAAAAGATTGAAATATGATCTTGAATAGTCACCGCAAATCATTTTCAAAAACTGGAATGTTTTTGCGAGCCTTTCGCAAAAGTTACCACAAAACGTACAGCAAAAAATTAGGGGGTGTGGTTAACCTTGAATAAATGATAAAAGAAACCTTTGAGTGTACCTTTCGTGTTCGCAGCAAGATAAAAAATGCTAAAAACCTGCAGGAGTAATGTCACAAGTAATTTGAGACCTCTTGCTTTTCCACAAATCGCAACTTTTTATCAGTTTTTACTTCATGCAATAGCGGCCTAACATTTCTAATGCTGGGGGAAAAGTCATGATTTTAATATCGAAGGGGTTGGGGGGGGCGGGGGATAGGATCCTTTTGTCCCTGTTCATGCATCCCTTTTTTTATCCCAGATAAGGTATATCAAACAAGTAAAGCAATTAATTCTCTATACTCAAGCCCCATTCGTTTTTACACTGCATTTTTTCTACAGTGTAACATTGTTGTGGAAAAATCTCCTTGGGGGCAAGGGGGGGGGGAGTACTCAACAAAGGTTTATATGGGTAGGCCCTACCCCAAGGTTCAAACTTTGTATCCCTTTAACTTCTGTAAATGCACTGTTTTTAGAATAATGAATAAATTACAAAACAAGAACATTCTTCGACTTTTTGACAGCCATAAAATGCATCTGTTTTTTGGGGGACTTTTTTACAGACGGAAATGACAGATTTGCCTACCCTTTCATGTACTTCATTAAGTGAAATGCCTACCCTTTCATACACCTGAAGCCTAAAAAAGGTGCCCCCTTTCAGGTGGAGCCTCCCCATATCGGCTTTTATAGGGACCACCCTTCTCCCCCCCCCCCCCCCCCCCCCCCCCCCCCCCCCNCAGTATTTTTGTATCAAGTCTATCTTTTGTATTATCAAAACTGTTTTATACTTGTAAAGGTTTGTATTTACATGCATCATGCGCGACTGCAGAAAATTAAAAAAGATTGAAATATGATCTTGAATAGTCACTGCAAATCATTTTCAAAAGCTGGAATGGTTTTGCGAGCCTTTCACAAAAGTTACCACAAAACGTACAGCAAAAAAATGGGGGGTGTGGTTAACCTTGAATAAATGATAAAAGAAACCTTTGAGTGTACCTTTCGTGTTCGTAGCAAGATAAAAAATGCTACAAACCTGCAGGAGTAATGTCACAAGTAATTTGAGACCTCTTGCTTTTCCACAGATCGCAACTTTTTATCAGTTTTTACTTCATGCAATAGCGGCCTAACATTTCTAATGCTGGGGTGAAAAGTCATAATTTTAATATCGAAGGGGCTGGGGGGGGTGGGGGGTAGGATCCTTTTGTCCCTGTTCATGCGTCCCTTTTTTTATTCCAGATAAGGTATATCAAACAAGTAAAGCAAATTCTCTATACTCAAGCCCCATTCGTTTTTACACTGCATTTTTTCTACAGTGTAACTTTGTTGTGGAAAAATCTCCTTGGGGACAAGGGGGGGGGGGAGTACTCAACAAAGGTTTATATGGGTAGGCCCTGCCCCAAGGTTCAAACTTTGTATCCCTTTAACTTCTGTAAATGCACTGTTTTTAGAATAATTAATAAATTACAAAACAAGAACATTTCTTCGACTTTTTGACAGCCATAAAATGCATCTGTTTTTTGGGGGACGTTTTTACAGACTGAAATGACAGATTTCCCTACCCTTTCATGTACTTCAACAAGTGAAATCCCTACCCTTTCATACACCTGAAGCCTAAAAAAGGTGCCCCCTTTCAGGTGGAGCCTCCCCATATCGGCTATTATAGGGACCACCCTTCTCTCCCCCCCACCCCCCTCCCTCCCTGGAAATAATCTCACAAAGAATGTCAGAGCTATCAGAACCTAGAAGTTTTACAGGCTAGCACAGTCTGATTATTGTATGGCTGGTTCAATTTATATTTTTTATTAAATTAATAAGAACAATAATTTATTGTTCTTTTTCTGTTTGCATGCACAGTTTTGGCCCAGAGAGGTTACTTCAAAGACCAGTCTTTCATAAATTACCTCAACTATCTTCTGTACTGGAAGAAACCAGAGTATGCAAAGTTCCTAAAGTAAGTTAAAACTTTTTTAAAAAATTCACACTGTTATATCTCAAGGTGGTATGCTGGACTTCCCAGGAACAGAATCAACATTGTGCTTCATTTCTAGACTTCATTTAATTTTGATTTCTTTATGTTTCAAACTTATTATCGTAAATTTCCATACCCAGAGAACAAACAGAAGTGGACTTAAAATCCAAAAAATAAAATCGAACCACAACTTATACAATAACATTAAAAGGTTATTTTATAAGTTGTGTTTCAATTTTAGTTTGTACATAAAAGTAATCTTAAGAATATTCTGGGCAGATTGTATAATTGTAATAATTTGTTAGCCAAGGAAGAGAAGTCTGAGTCTAAGTTTTTTTTGTTTTTGTTTTTGTTTTTTTTTTTAACACTTCTGTGAGCATGGCAAAAGTGTCTGTTTTAGTAGGGAGGGTCATGCTCGATTTTATGCAAATTGCATATTCTTTGTTGGATTTAATTTTCACTATTTAGGCTAAGAACGACTTGAATTTTTTTTTGAGTTTTCATACTTTCTTTCAGATATCCCCAGTGCCTACATTTTCTGGAACTTCTCCAATATGAACATTTTCGTCGAGAACTTGTCAACCCTGCATGTGCCAAGTTCATTGATGAACAGCAAATTCTCCACTGGCAGTATTACTGTAGGAGAAGAATGAGGATGACTTTACCAAAACCAGGACAAACTGGTTCTGAACCATCCGAGCAGTGATGAACACAAGGCAAGGAAACCAAAGATAAAGAAAATGTATACTAAACAATTGAGTCAAAACAACATCCTGTAAGGAAAAACTGAACATAACATCATCTGCAGCAAATACTGAGAGATGCGTCCAAGAACAGAGAAACCATTTTAGTGTGTTAACACGATATAGACCCACAGTAGTGTCATGGTTAGCATAAGCCACTAAAGCTTGGAATACACTAGTGTGAAAAACAACATAAGGATAATGTCATAATGCCATTCCTGGTTCACACTAGGAACATAACTACTCAAGTTAAACAGAAAGTAGTTATGCCAGCAGTGTGAACATGCAAACATGAGTTTGCAAACAACAAAATGAGGGGTAACTTAACCATATAGTTTATCTGGCATAAATCTTAAAGGCAGAAACTGAGAAATTTCTTCTAAATGCTTGTATTATTATGTGAAAGGAAAAAAAAGCTAATTCAAATTTTTTTATTTCATTTCCTGTCTTGGCTAACCACAGTATTCTTAAAGCAACTTTTTCTGTTCTCCTTTTGACCCCTTTAACCTCACTCAAGACATATGTAGTTGTGTGCACTCTTTAAGATTCAGTGCTGAAGTTTGGAGTGAGGGACAGTCCTAGTTATTCAGAGAGAATTAAATGAGCCAAAGCGGGATTTTTTTTAAAAAAAAAAACCTCAGATAAGAAAATTTTATATCTTTTATAATAGGGAGATTTAGAGTCAGATTTACAGCAAATGGCAAAGGTGAAGTTGCACCACGTGACCAAGTCTTCCCTTTACTTGTTGTTTGTTGTTCACTTTTTCCCCTATAAAAATAAGTAGTTTCATGCCAGTTTTATCCACAAGAACATGGACAGTTTTTATCTGCCCATTTTCTGTTTTAACAAATCCTCAACTTGAATCTGACTTATCATAAGCATGACTCTTACTAACTTTGGTCCACACAAGAATATGCATTAACATAAGAATTTTTTCTCTGAGGGCAACTGAAGCATAAACGTGAACATACAAATGTAAGAATATCAACACATCCTGGCCTTGGTTGTTCAAATGTTGGATAGCGCTATCCAACTGGCCCTGGTTGTTCAAACATTGGATAGCACTATCCAGGGGATAAAAATACAGAAACCAATTCCGTTATCCACTGGACAAAGATTTATCCAGTGGATCACGTTATCCAGCTCTTGAACAACTGGAGCCTGATAAATCACTATCCAGCCAATAAGTATTTGGGAAACCAATGACATTATCCACTGGATAGCTTTTTATCTTAGAGTAGTGGTATCCAGCTTTGATGGACCAGGACCTGTTCTTCTTGTGCTTGTGCTTATAATGTCAGTGTTAATCCTATTAAGGACATGTGACATGGCACAAGCAAAAGCAACAAAAATATGGCACTTGTCACCAATCCCACCTTTTTCTGCCACATCAGTTTTTATTCTTTGGTGCCAGTATAGTAGTGTCAAACTTTTATGCTTCTGTGCCTGCTTATGTAAGATTGTGCTTGTGTTCATTTTTATGTTTGAGTCCCTATATAGTTTTGCAAAGTTCTTCAAACGACAACACATAAGTCATTTTCATGTCTTTATTAAATAAACATGTCACCACAAACTTACTTATAATAAATTAATTAATGTAAATAATGTAGACCAATGTATAAAGCCTCCAAAATATTAATAAAATATTATAATCTTGAAACAGGACACCTTGTCAGAGCACCTTGGCACTAAGACAAATTGTTACTGCTTCCAGTGTTCTAGTCTACATGTACAATCCATTATTAACAAAAAAAAGTCAAACTTAGAATTATTTTAAACTCTTCACATCCTGTCTTGATTCTCAATAAAAAATCGAGGGTCATGGGAGGGTTTAATGACCACAATCACGAAAGCATGATATCCAACTTGTGACAGTGGAGGGAGGAAGGGGAAAAGGTCAAACCAATGAACCATACATGAGTGTGAATCACCTTCGAAGCAACACAATGTTTCCCTTAGCACTTGGATCCAGTAATTCTTTTTTCAAGATATTATGCGTCTTTTTTTTTTTTCCACCATGGCCAGTGATGGATGAAAAAGATGAGAAAATAGAGGACTGTGAATTGTCTAAAATAAATAATTTTGTGACAACACCCCCCTTAACTTAAGACCAAAACGTGGGTCTAAAAAATCTAAGTTACACTCCATATCAATGCTAGCTTTGGTCCATCCAGTTGAGTGCAGATGCACAAATATGACAAAAAGTAATGTAGTTTAAAACAATGTCTGTAAAATTGTAATATTATTTCTGCTGAATATTGAGGGAAAACTATGCTTCAAAATGATTAAAGCAATAATCTCTAACACTCAAAACATTTTAAAAACATGCCAATCTCACCCTACAAAGGCACAACAAAGGTAATCACCATCAGTTTGGAAAGCCATATCAAACATATCAGTGTTTCATATAACATTCAGATACCTTGAAGTCCGCATTAAAAACTTGGAAGTGTCTTCTTTCCTTTCAGCCTTTAATTATAGTGTTAACTTGTTGCAGAAACTATCCATATTTCCACATAAAGAGTTTGTTGTTGGGACCCCATTCCCCCAACAACTTCCAGAACTTTCACTGAAAAATTTTGGTCCAGCTGAGAATTTCCATTGACCCTGCAACGGCTGAGAGTGGATATTTTCTGGAAACGCACTTTAGACAAACCCCTCTTCTTCCTTCTGAATCCTACTAATATTATATTTTCTAATTCTGTAAGTATCTCAATCTACATGTAATTATACCAAGCACTATTCCAAGGCTAAAAAAGTATGTTTAAAATAATCTGTTGTAAATAATGTGTAATAAGAACTCTTGTTTAATTAATAATATTGAATTTTCTAGATCAATTGAGGTTTCTGAGTAACTGACCTCCTACTCCTCCCCCGAGTCACAATTTCGCCCTAAGTGAGAAGTACGTTGACTTAAGGGAGGGGTAGGTGGCTGGATATCCAGAAGCCTCAATTGATCCAATAATTTACCATAACTGTAAATAATGTCTTATGTACAACACAAACTATAGGTTCATAAACAAATGCACTCATTATGATTGTTGAATCAATTCAAAAGGCCATACTCTAAATCTCAGTCTTGGGGGTGTCAATGGGGTATACCTCTAGTCAGTAAATTGTTTAGACAGCTCCTCTAAGTCAGTATACAGCAAAATATATTATTTTATTCTCCTTAATTATTTCAAATTAAATCAACTCAACTCCTTAATTAATAAGGGGCTTAGCTACTAGAATACTGTAAACAAACAAAGATTCAACCAAGAGGCAGATACTGCAACATGTTTATCAAACTACCTGGTGTCAGTTAGAGAAAAGTAACGACAAAAACAACATTCTAAGAGGCTGAGGTTTGCCAACCATATTTTCATAGAAAAATTAACAATTTTCCAGAAAATGTTCAAAGTGTGACTTCTGTAAAATGTAAACACAAAAAAACGACATCCTTTTATAAAATAGTTCAAGTTTTGTTTGTTAAAATGCAAAACAATCCTTATTAGATAGGTAAACAACCCTATTGACATCCTTAGTGATGAGTGCAGGTAGAATTGGAATTGTGACTTCTGTATTAAGTGACAACCGGAATAGATCCTGCTATTAACATTGCCACTTAAAAAAAATTATTTGATGATTTTCCAACATGTTTTCGACAAAATTTTGAGAAATTTGTTGGGTTACTATGGATCAAAAGTGAACAGGTTTTGGAGGAGCTGTGGAGTTACGTGATTTCAAAGGAGTTGAAATGAAATGCAAACTTTCAAATGCATCTATGGCTCCTGTTCAAACCATTTTGGATTTTGATTTGTTTTTCATTTAATATGAAATTTGAAACTCATCAAAGATAATAAGAAATTTGCAGAAAAACAGTCAACCTGATGCAAAGAATTTTATCAACATAACTGGCAATCAGGTAGTGCAATCTTCACTGCAATATTTTACTCAAAAATCCTCAACATTATTTTCTAAAACCAACAAAAAAGATGGAGTACTCTACCAAAGAGGTTTTACTTGAATGGCCACACCAAAGGGAAAATGAAAATGAAAACTACACGACATGTCTCTGTAGTGATGTATACTGGGAGTAATATGTTTCAATAGTTAATTTTTCAGTGATGTATTTATTCTATTTTACAAACTCTTAAATCAAAAATAAGGTAAATTTAAAAAATATGATGAATTTGAGATTATTGGACAAGGGAAAAAATATCATGTTAGTAAATAACTAGGAGTTTTCTTGCACACCATTTCTAACTTGTAAGGAACTGAGTAATTCTTTGGCCCTCTCAATTTCATTCTCAGGTACCTAAAATGAAGAATATAATAATAATGCAAACAAGATATAGACTTGCCTCAGATGGCAACTTGAAAAACATAAACATTAATTTCTAGCCTGCATAGCAGGCGTCGAAAGGGGTAGGGGGTAGGGGATAGGGAGGAAGGGAAAAAGGGGAGGGGGATTGGGGAGAGGGGGAGGGGACGCCTGCTCTAAGAACCCCCTTTAGTTCATGTCTGCGGACGCTGGCGTCCGCAAATTCCTGATTGGCTGAGCTGTAATGAGTAACATAATTTTTATTGAAATGCGTGTTTCACAAATCAACAAACAGTCGAGATGGCAGCGGTAGACGTGGATGTCGTAGAGAGTGCTTTGAGAGATGTGAATTTATCTAGTGGTAGAGAAACTGTTTTAAAACCAGAGCAAGAATCAGCAGTAAGGGCTCTTTTAGCCGACAGAGATGTTCTGGCAGTTTTGCGGACCGGATACGGCAAGAGTTTAATTTACCAAATGTTTGTACGCGCGAAGAACTATGAGCTAAATGGTAATGCTAATTAATTTCTCAATTAATAAATTTGAGTGAACGAAATTTATTTCTTAGCCTAAGAAATAGCTGACATCAGCACCAGTCACCAACATTGATTAATCCCCACTAGTGGTAGTAAGTACTACATGTACAACATCTTCATTGTA